TGAGAAAGCCCCGGTGTGCAGATAGATAACCCAGTGTACTGTGAGAGCCCCGGTGTGCAGAGAGAGAACCCCAGTGCACTGTGAGAGCCCCGGTGTGCAGAGAGAGAACCCCAGTGTACTGTGAGAGCCCCGCTGTGCAGAGAGAGAACCCCAGTGTACTGTGAGAGCCCCGCTATGCAGAGAGAGAACCCCAGTGTACTGTGAGAGCCCCGCTGTGCAGAGAGAGAACCCAGTGTACTGTGAGAGCCCCGGTGTGCAGAGAGAGAACCCCAGTGCACTGTGAGAGCCCCGGTGTGCAGAGAGAGAACCCCAGTGCACTGTGAGAGCCCCGGTGTGCAGAGAGAGAACCCCAGTGCACTGTGAGAGCCCCGGTGTGCAGAGAGAGAACCCCAGTGCACTGTGAGAGCCCCGGTGTGCAGAGAGAGAACCCCAGTGCACTGTGAGAGCCCCGGTGTGCAGAGAGAGAACCCCAGTGCACTGTGAGAGCCCCGGTGTGCAGAGAGAGAACCCCAGTGCACTGTGAGAGCCCCGGTGTGCAGAGAGAGAACCCCAGTGCACTGTGAGAGCCCCGGTGTGCAGAGAGAGAACCCCAGTGCACTGTGAGAGCCCCGGTGTGCAGAGAGAGAACCCCAGTGCACTGTGAGAGCCCCGGTGTGCAGAGAGAGAACCCCAGTGCACTGTGAGAGCCCCGCTGTGCAGAGAGAGAACCCCAGTGCACTGTGAGAGCCCTGGTGTGCAGAGAGAGAACCCAGTGTACTGTGAGAGCCCCGCTGTGCAGAGAGAGAACCCCAGTGCACTGTGAGAGCCCTGGTGTGCAGAGAGAGAACCCCAATGTACTGTGAGAGCTACAGTGTACTGAGAGTGAATCTCAGTCTACAGAGAACCCCAGTCCACTATGAGAGACCCCCTCAGTCTACACTGAGAATTGCAGTCCACAGTGAGAGCCCCAGTATGCAAAGAAAGAGAACCCCTAGTCTACAAGAGACCCCCTAGTCTGCGATGAGAGAACCTGTCTAGTGAGAGAACTGCAGTCTATGGTGAGAAAACCTCAGTTCACCGTGAGAGAACCACAGTCTCAAGTGTTGGCAGCCCAGTCTATAGGGCCCAAACAATCACGAGTATTTCAGTTGCTTTTTCTGAAAATTCATTCCATTCATAAATTTTTGTTTATGAATAAATGAGTATTTGAAATCAAAGAGAAAGTTAATCACTTCAGCATTAATAAAAACCCAAAGTATTTATTATTTAGTTACCTCACCCGATGCTTCATCAACTAAAGATATCTGGGTAGGAGTTTCGATTTCAATTGCTACCTATGAAAATGAAACAAGAGATCATACAATGTCCATATTCCAGGGGTTTTCATGCCTTTGCTGTCTGAAATACTATAAACAGATTAAGTAGTAACAAAGTTATAGACTCTGATTAGCAATTTCTGACTTTCTGATATCAGTATCTAAGGAATAAAACATCTTGCTCATGATCACTGTTTAGCACTGTGATATTCAATGCACTTAAAAAAAACTACCTGGGGGGGGGGCTGGAGAGACGGCTCAGTGGTTAATAACACTGGCTGTTCTTGTAGAAGACCCAGGTTCGAATCCCAACGCCCACATGGTAGCTAACAACTGTCAGTAACTCCAGTCCCAGGGGATCCAACAGCCTCTTCTGACCTCCGAGGGCACTGCACAACACAAGTGCACTTACCTACATGCAGGCAATACACGCATATACATAAAATAAAAAAAAAATAAATAATTTTTTAAAGTTAAAAAAAAAAACTACCTGGGCTTGGGATTTTTTAGGGGGTGGGGGGAGATCTTTGATAACATTGAATTTACTTTTTCTTTTTGCATGTGTATGCATATGTGGTTTACATGCATGTGTGTATATGTGCTGCACGTTTATGGGCACACAGGTATGCGAGTGCATGTGGAAGGCAGAGGTTGATGTTGGGTGTCTGCCTTGACTGCTCTCCATTTTACTTGCTGGGCAGGGTTTATCACTGAATGTGGAGCTTACCTAGCTAGCCAAATGACCTCAAGTATCCCCATCTTTGCCTGCCAAACACTGGGATTACAGGCAGGCTGTCAGCCCCGCAGCCTGCCGTTCTGAACTCCAGTACTCACACTCATTCAGCAAGTGCTTTATTCAGAGTCATCTCCCAGGTCCTTAAATGTCTTACCCTTCCTTCCTTCCTTCCTTCCTTCCTTCCTTCCTTCCTTCCTTCCTTCCTCCCTTCCTTCTTCCTTCCTTCCCTCCTTCCTCCCTCCCTTCCTCCTTCCTTCCTTCTTCCTCCCTTCCTCCCTTCCTCCCTCCCTCCCTCTGTCTCCCTGTAGCCCCAGCTATGCAGAGCAGACTGGCCTCGATCTTACAGAGATTCACCTGTTTCTGCCTCCTGAGTGCTGGGATTAAAGGTGTGTGCCACCATGCTTGGCTAACCTAAATTTGATGATTATAATTTATTCAACTTGCCTACTTTTCTTGCCTTAGTGAAGTATTTTACTATTTCATGCTTTGCCTAAATCACCAAATATACAGTGTATTAATTTCCAGGGAAAATGATATTGCTGCCATTGGTCACTTTTATGACTCTGTATTTCATATGTGTCTTTTTAGAAAAGTCAATCTTGCCAGAAATCTCCCTCCACTCCTGTCCAGATGTGCTCCTCCTTTCCAGATGTGCTCCCGTCTAGTTGTGCTCCTGTCCAGATGTGCTCCTGTCCACTCCTTTTGGTCCCAGTAATCTTCCTTTTTATTTTCTCTTCTAGTTAATGGTCTGGTCTCTCCATTGTCAACTTTTGCTTTTATCCTTATTTCCTTCTTTCACATTTCCTTCAGTTTGCTTTGGTATAGATACATTTTACCATCCTTTTGAATAGAAGACATATTTATTTTTGGCTTTGTTTTCTAAGAAACTTGTCTACTGCCAGCAGTTTCCCCTTGAGCACAAACTGAACTGTGACTACACTGTATCCCCATGGCACATATAGTTCTTTCTAGTTTTGTCTTCAATCTATGGGTTATTTACAGTATGCATTTAGTTTCTACATAGTATGATTCTTGACTATCCTTTCATTTCTGACCCCCCAAATCATGGTACAGTCAGAGAACACAGAACATCAGGATTTTTTTTCTGGTGCTGAGGATGGAACCCAGGGCTTTATGAATGCTAGATAAACACTGTACCACTGAGCTACAGTAACACCAGGATTTTTTTTTTTTTTTTTGTCTTTTGTCTCCCTGTAGCCCCAGCTGTTCTGGAACTCACTATATAGACCAGGCTGGCCTTGAACTCACAAAGATCGGCCTGCCTCTGCCTCCCAAGTGCTGGGATTAAAGGCATGCGCCACCACGCCCGGCACAACATCAGGATTTTGTGTGTGTACTCATGTTCATGTATATGTCCATGTAGATGTGGAAGCCAGAGGTTGACGTCAGGAGTCTCCTTCAACCTTCCTCCATCTTGTTTTTTGAGACAGGGTCTCTTAGTGAACCTGGAGCTGGCCAGTAATCTCCAGGAATCCTCCTGTCTCTACTTCCCCAGTGCCTGTTGCACACATTGCTGGAAACCCACACTCAGGTCTTCATGCTTGCACAGCAGGTAAATGACCCACTAAGCCATCTCCCCAGCCCACACTGGGATTTTTTTAAAAAAAAAAAAAACCTTTGAGAATTTCAAACGTGCATATAAGGTGTTTTGATCACACTGAGATTTTTAAAGAGGTGTGTGTGTGTGTGTGTGTGTGTGTCTGTGATAAAATACATGGTCAATTTCTGTAAACATCCTATAGATCTCCCCCAAATACTGCCTTCTCTGTTGGGTTAAATACCATGCTTTGTTGTTATTTTGTTTAATTAGTTTCCATTTGTTATGTAATCTTACATTTCTGTAATCTTTACTTATTTTCTGCTCTTTCATTTTTAATTATCTGACAGGGGCATACTAAGTTCTCCAATAGCAAGTGCCAACCTGCCTATTCCTCTTTTAGATTTCGGGGCAACCTTGTACTAATCAACTCATCTAAGCTGAAACTGCATTTCCTAAAAGTTGTTTCTGTTAGGGTTGGCCCCAAGAAACATCTGGAAGGCAGAAGTGAATGAGAAACCTTTTAATGCTTGGAAGAGCACAAGGAATCACAATAGCCCAAGCTCTTATCTTCTGATCTAATCATGGGTGCAGGGCAAGACCACAGCCACACCAATGTCTCCCAGGGTCTGCTTGCACTTTCCTGAGTCAAGGACCAGATAGGAACATAACACACACACTACCAAAACAGGTGACCAGCATCATTAAGGCTGGAAGGAGTAAGATGCTGACAGGAGGTATCTGCTCTCCAAGACTCTAGCTGTCTTTGTGAATTCCAGCATTCGTTTGCTCTTCCCACTTCCTGATTGTCAGCCAAACTGACCTGTAGCACCTATAGTCCCAATCCCAGAGGTAAAGGGAGAGTAGCCCAGCTGTTGAGACCACTCTGCAGAGGACATGGATCTTCCTCAGCTAGCAGGCAGGATGTTGAGACTCAACATGCTCAAGGAAAAAGGCTCCTGCCATGACAGGACCCTTTGGGTGCAGTGCCCAAGCGAAGATCAGGAGGATAATGAAAGGGGCTGGTGTGACTTTCCAAGAGTAGATGTAGAAGACTGTGTTTTTTAAAGATTTACTTCTATTTTATGTGTATGGTGTTTTGTCAGCTTGTATGTAAGTACACCACATGTGTGCAGTGCCTGTGGAGGTCAGAAGAGGAGGGCATTGGATTCCCTGGAACTGGAGTTAGAGATAATTGTGAATTACCATGTGGGTGCTGGGAACTGAACCCAGGTCCTCTACAAAAGCAGCAAGTGCTCTTAACTGCTGAGCCATCTCTCCAGCCCCAAAGGGGACTATTTTTATTGACACATAATGTCTGTACATATTTTGGGGGGTAGAGAACAATAATTTGATTCATCAACACGACAAGTCATGATCAAATCATGTTATTAGCATTTCCAGCTCCTTAAACATTCATCTTTGGACTCTGAGTTATTTTTAAATATGTCAGATTGTTGTAGACTTAAGTCACCCTGCCTACAGATAGCTGGTTATTGTCTTGTTTTCTTTTGTTTTGGTAGTACTTGGGATCAAACATGCTATGTAACATGTAGCTGGCTACATCCCCAGCTCCTGTAGTAAAGGATTTACCCGCTTTCATCTTTGCATTTCATGCAGAGGTACAAGTAGCTTTCTTTTTAGTTTGTTTTGGTTTTGGTCTTTTTGAGACAGGGTCTCCCTGTAGCCCTGGCCTAGGGAAGGTTCCCTAGACTAGGCTGGCCTCCAACTCACAGAGATCCGCCTGCCTCTGCCTCGCCAGTACTGGAATTAAAGGCATGCACCACCACACTTGGCTCATAGCTTTCTTTTTTTAACGTCTTGCCCAAATATGGAGCAGGGGAAGGAGGAGAAGATGAGACCTGAAAATAGTCATCAGTCAGATATCAAAAAGTCTGCCATTTGAGCAGACTTCTCTGCCATCTACCACAGTTACTCAAAGCCTGACCACCACAGTAAATCCTAACTCCAATTCTACTCTTTTGTGGCTGCCGTTCTTCTCTGACAGAGCACTGGGAGCAGCAGGTCCTGGCAGTACTTGATGAGTTGGAGGTGTTTTGTCAGTTGCTTATACGTTTATGTCCTTCTGATCCACCATTGTTTGTAACAGTGAGACCACTGCCTCTGATGGTGTTTTGTTTGTGGCCTTCGGTTCTACTCTGTGATAGGAAATTGCCACTTTGGCACCTGGGTCTGCTGGGTAGCCTATCTTCCCCTTCCCTTCTCCCTCTCTCTCTCTCTCTCTCTCTCTCTCTCTCTCTCATCATTTCAACCTTTATTTATCCTTTTATCTATGTCTTTTATATATTAATATTGTTAGATCTTATTTATTTAGCTCAAACAGAGAAATATGTGTCTATTTAGAATAAGTGTTACCACAGGACTTTTTCTGCCATGTTTACACCATGTCCCATTAATTTTCTCTTAACTACCTTGTGCAGTAGAGACTCATTTTATTTTGCTACATTGAAAAGCTATCCATTCTATTTTCCTTCTATCTTGCTATATAGGTCCGGCTGGCATGGGACTTATGATCTTGGGGCTGGGAGACAGCTCAGTGATAGAGCACTTGCCTGGCATGCACAAAGCCCTAGTTTCAGTCCTCAGTACCACAAAAACAAAGACAGAGGAGTCTGTGATCTCCTCGCCTCACATGTCTAAATGCTGGGTTCACAGGTATGTGCCATGGCTTGGTTCTACTCAATTTGAAATATTCTATTCTTCTGCTTGTTTCCTTGCCTTTTCTTAAGATTTACTTTTATTTGTGTGTGTTTATGTCTATGTGTCTGCATGAATTCATACTGTGTGTGGGGACCCGGGGAGGCCAGAAGAAGGCATCAGGTCCCCTGGAGCAGGGATCACAGGTGGTTGAGCCAACTGCCATGGGAAAAGCAGCCAGCTTCGTTAGTTAGTTAGTTAGTTAGTTAGTTAGTTAGTTAGTTAATTAGTTAATTAGTTAATTAGTTAATTTGCTTTGTTTGTTTGAGCTAGGTCTCCTTAACTCACCTAGGAGTCATTAGTAGACCAGGCTGGCCGAAATCTGGAAGAGATCCATCCACCTGCCTCTGCCTCCCGAGGGCTGGGATTAAAGGCATGCACCACCAGCTAGCAAGTTCTTACCCACTGAACCTTGTCTCCAGCCCCTACCCTTTCTTATTTTAACCTTTAAATTCTGTTTATTTTTCCTGAGTTAGCCTATGATCTGAAAAGACTTAGCAGTTATCATAATAAACATTTTACACGTTAATACACCTTAGCTAGGCAGTCCACAAGACTAAATAAAGCATAAGCCCTCAACCAAATTCTTTTTAAAAATATTTTACTTATTATTTTTATGTGTATGTGTGTATTGCCTGCATGTAGGTTAAGTACACCCATGTCATGCAATGCCCGCGGAGGACAGAAGAGAGCCATCAGTTACGGACAGTTGTTAGCTGCCATGTGAGTGCTGGGATTTGAACCTGGGTCTTCTGCAAGAACAGCCAGTGTTCTCAACTGCTGAGCCATTTCTCCAGCCCCTCAATCAAATTCTTGAAGAACAAGAACATGGATTACCGAATGCTGGCTTCTCCTAGACTGCTGAATCACAAACACCAAGAACTACCATTCTAATTAATGCAGGCAGCTATAATGGATGAAGAAAACACTTTGAAGAATTCCAATGCTGTTTTCAATCTACTCTAAAAATATTCCCCCACGTACCCAACATAGTGTTATTTAAAAAAATAAGACTTACGATTCGTTTTTCCCAAAATCTGTATTTAGGGCTAGTTAACAACAACTCCTTAGTAACAGGAGAACAGTACAGGAAAACCTTCAAGCTGAAAAGAAAAGGCCAAATAAGTAAATATTTTAAAATAACAAAGCTATTCCAGTACAATCCAAAATTAATCATTTGGTGACTCAGTAATACCTTTCACAGAATATAATTTTTCTCTAACAACTCAGAAACAGCTGACACAGAAAGTGTGACAGCAGCTTCTAACACCTGCCATGATTTGGATGTGCAAAATACCCCCTTCAGCCCATGTGCTAAGGCTTGGTCCCAGGATGATGTTCAGAGAGAAGTGGGGCTTTGGGCAAGTGACAGGAATATGAAGCAACAGACTGACCCTTTGATGGTGTCATGATATTTTCTTTTTTTTTTTTTTTTTCTGTCTTTTTTTGAGACAGGGTCTCCTTGTAGCCCCAGCTGTCCTGGAACTCAGTATGTAGACCAGGCTGGCCTTGAACTCACAAAGATCCACCTGCCTCTGCCTCCCAAGTGTTAGGATTAAAGGCATGCACCACCACATCTGTCTATGATATTTTTTAAATATTTTATTTATCATTTTTCTGTGTGTGAGTGTATTGCCTGCATGAGTGTAAATGCACCCGTGTCGTGCAATGCCATAGAGGTCAGAAGAAGGTGTTGTTGGATTCTCCCGGAACTGGAGTTACAGACAGTTGTCAGCCATGATGTGGGTGCTGGGAATTGAACCCGGGTCCTCTGCAAGAAGAGTCAGTGCTCTTAACCACTAAGCCATCTATCTCTCCAGCCCCATGATGGTGTCATGATTTAATAGGGTTATTGGGAGGTGGTATAAAGGAGGAGGTGGGCCTAATTAGAGGAAGTATGTCACTTAAAGGTGTGCCTTGAAGGGCATACCTTGTCCCTGGTCCTTCCACTATCTGTCTGTCTCTTTCTCTGTTTCATGACTACCAGGAGGTGAGCAGTATTTATCCACTGTTCCCTTCCACCACGTTCCTCCTTGCTAGGAGCCTAAGAGCAACGGAACCAGCTGACCATGGGCTGAAGCCTCTGATACCAAGCGGCAAAGTAAATCTTCCTTTTAATTGTTTTCTGAGGTATTCTGTCACAGTGACAACAAGCTGACTACCATAATACCAGTACACCATTGACTATTTCAGTCCTGTCCAAAGTGTAAGAGAAGGGGAAATATTGTGCCCTCTACCCTGCTAAGTCCTTAACTTTTCTCATGTCAAAATGATGTATTGGAATAGGGCTGAAGAGATGGCTCAGTGGTTAAGAGCACTAGCTGCTCTTGCAGAGGACCTGAGTTTGGGTCCCAGTACTCACATGGTAGCTAACAACCATCCTTAACTCCAGTTCCAGGGAAGCCAATGCTCTCTTCTGGCCTCTGCAAGCATTTCATACACATGTTGAACCTACATACATGCAGGCAAAACACTCATACACATAAAAAATAGATAAAAGTTTTTTTAAAAACCCTATTTATTATGGGGTGGGGGGTGGGCTGGAAGTATAGCTCAAGAGTAGAGAATCTGACTCTGAGCATGGGAAAAAATTTTTTTATAAAAAACAGTGCTTGTACTTGATCAGGTACATGTAGAAAAGAGACCACCAAATGTATTTACGTTTTTAGTGAGCAGAAATTAATTTCATATTAAGCTCTAAAAATGTAATAGTGTAAGTAGGCAATTAGGAATACACTCCACAGTAGATTATATTTCCAACACCACCATATATCCCATCTGTTCATGCTTTTCTTTAAAAATGGACTCAAAAGTCCTTCACTGAGTTGGGTGTGGTAGCACATGCCTGTAATCTCAGCACTCAGGAGGAGGCAGAAGGATCATTCCAAGTTTGAGGCCAGCCTGGTCTACATACTGAGTTCCAGAATACCCCCCCTCAACACACACACATATTCCTCCATTGAGAGGAGATGCCTGCCCCTTAAACATGAGCAGATCTCTGAAACTGTTTTGATCGCAGAATGTGATGGAAGTAGTTGCAGGACTCTTGAAGCTGGCTCTCGGGGCAATACAGCCCTCTCCTGATGTACAATTTTATTTTATTTTATTTATTTTGAAATAGAGTCTCACTGTTATCCTGGCTAGCCTAGACCTTTCTATGTAGAGCACACTGGCCTTAAAGCTCAGCATGCCTCTGCCTCCTCAAAGCTGGGATCGAAAGTGTACATAACCACATCTGGCCCAGGATATACATTTTTTAGCCACAAATCTCCATTATCCAGACTAGCCATCCCAAAGCTACCATATTCAAGCACTTTTGCAGAGAGACATGCTCAAGGACCAGTTGTTCTAGACATTGTTGCTGCTCTGAGTCTTCCCAGGTTTCAGATACTTAAATGAGTCTTTGGATAATTTCAGTCCCATCTGGTATTAGGCATCATTTTAAGGTCATTCAGTTAGATCATTATTACACAGTAATAGCTGATATATATAGGCTCTGAAATCAGACAGACCTGGTTGAAATCCTGGTCCCACCACTCACTGATTACAAGATATTGGGCAATTAATTTAACCCCTTTGGCTTCTCAGTTTCCTCATCTATAAAGTAGAAATTACAATAGTGTCTATTTAAAAGGTTATCAAGAAGTTCTAATGAAGATGTGGACAAGGGGATTTTACTGTATTTTCAGCTTCTACCACCATGCCTGGTCCTTCACACAAACTGAGAAAAAAACTTGCTGAGCTAAGAAATTTGTGATGCTTTGAAGACAGTAAGTTTTCAACAAATATAAGTTGCTTCCAAGAACACACAAAATATGGTACGTATGTATGAAAACATCATCACGAAACCCACTTCTTTTTGTTTCTATGTGTGTGTGTATGGTCTTCATGTGTGTGCAAGTGAGTCTTTCACCAGCCTAGAATATACCAAGTGGCTCAATGGCCAGCAAGCCCCAGGGATCTACCTGTCCCCACCACCCCAGTGCTGGGATTGCAAGTGTGGGCCCCCACTAAGCTTTATTTTCATGGGTTCTGGGGACTGAACTCAGGTTTTCACACACACACACACACACACACACACACACACACACACACACACACCCAGGTGCGTACACATGGTCTTACCAAAATGTAAACAAATGCAGTCAACAAATTGCAGTCAGCAATATGGATCACACAAATATAACGTTAAGAAAAAGTCTATTCCTTCAAATCTTGGTCTCCAATACTGTAGTGCCCACCTGTAGCTAAGGGAGAGAACCCACTATTGTTCTAAAATGATGGATAAATTTGTTTTCTACCCCTATCTAGAAGCCTTTGAGAGGGAACTGACACTGATTCTAACCACTCCAACAGTTATCAAAATACCTGAAAGCAAATCCTGAATCCATCACTCTAGAGTCCAGCCTTGGAAGACAAAAGAAAAATGAGGAGGAACCCAATAGAGGGATGCTTTTGGAAGCTCTTGTCAAGAAATCCCAATGAACACTGAGATGAACATTTGAAATTTGCCCTGTTCTGACTTTTTTCTGGTTACCTGTCTAGAATTTGTAATGCTAACTACTCTTGCCTTTACTTCTCCTTCACATCTCCTAGGCACCAGGCAAGACTTTCTTTTCGCCCTACAGTAAGAGTTATGCAATTTGGGAGTCTTTTAGATAGACCCACTGAAGGGGTACCCCAATTGCCTCAGCCTATATCCTGCTCAGCATGGAAGAAGTCAGAGTGGTCTGTGTCCTGATTCCCTATTGACAATTTGGGTAACCTTTCCAGATGATGGTGTGATAAGAATAGGAGGTAGGAACTGGCTAGGCAGTTAGAGTAAAAAAGACCCCACATAGTGATTTCCAGGACAGCTGGGGCTACAGGGAGACCCTGTCTCAAAAAGACTGTAAAAAAAAAAAAAAGACCGAAAAAAAAAAAGACCCCAAAGAACTGGCTAAAAGTCAAAATGTCCTTGGGCCTCTTAGTAACATATTCTGTTCCAAAGGCCAAAAATGTCCAAAGCATTTGTGAGCTCTTATCTAATCCCTAAAAGATTTTAGAGTTACCTCTTCAGAAGGGAGAATGGTAGAGTAGCAAAAAGCCCCATTTAAAAAAAAAAGAAAGAACACAAAGTTGTCAGGAAAAAGTGATGGGGAGATATGGGAGTGTTGGAGGGGATGGAGTGGGCATGGATTTGATCAAAACACCTTATATGCATATATGACATTCCCAATAAAGTTTTTTTTAAAGTTAAAAAGTCTATTCAGTATGATCTTTTTATAGTTTTTGTTTGTTTTCTTCAGATGGGAATCTCACTATGTAACCCAGGCTAGCCTTGAACTCACAGTCCTCCTGCTTCAGCCTCCTCAGTGTTGGGATTATAATTATGTACCACCACAACTAACCTCCTATTTAGATAAAATTTGAGAACAGGTAAAGGTAGCTAGCCCATCATGACAAAAGTCAGAATAGGGTTACTTCTGAAAAGAGGAACAGCTGGGATTAGGCACAGGGTCTGGGATATTGATAATGTTCAATTTTTTTTTTTTTTCGGTCTCCCTGTAGCCCCAGTTGACCTGGCACCCGCTATGTAGACGAGGCTGGCCTTGAACTCACAGAAATCTGCCTGCGTCTGCCTCTCAAGTGCTGGGACTAAAGGTGTACGCCACCATGCCTGGCTCAATTTCTTTTTTAAAAAAAATTTATATTTTTATTTTATGTGTATGAGTGTATGTATTGCCTACACGTAAGTGCACCCATGTCATACAATGCCCATGGAGGGCAGAAGAGGGCGTTGGATTCCCCCGGAACTGGAGTTAGGAACAGTTGTTAGCCTCTATGTGGGTGCTGGGACTCAAATTCAGGTCCTCTGCAAGAGAAGTCAGTGCTCTTAACCCCTGAGCCATCTCTTCAGCCCCGTGTTCAATTCTTGATGTGTATGGAGTCTCCACAGACGTGCTCATCACACTGCCCCCTTGTCATGTATGTACTATTCTGTCTAGATGTTACAACTCAATTAAGATGCTCACATATACATAGAAATCAGTAGCAAAATTTACCTGCATTCCAATCTTCTTTTCAAGGTCGGGGCCCGTAATCCTTTCATGTGATCTACAAGGAAAAATATCATCAGCATTATTTTAAAAGTTTTAGTAATTTTATTTATTTGTATTTTTATGTATATGAGTGCTTCACCTGCATGTATGTAGGTGCACCATGTACATGCAGTAGCTGCAGAGGCCAGAAGAGGGTTTCAGATCCCCCAGCTGGAGTTATAGTGGTTGTTTGCTGCTATGTGGGTCCTCTTCAAGAGCAGCCAGTGCTCTTAACTGCTGAGCCACTTTTCCAGCCCCATACACATTATTTTTAAGAGGATTCTTTGGTCAATACCAATTAAGCTGTCTTTCTAAGCTTCCTACTGAGAGAAGTTATGAGAGGTTCACTTTAATGAGAACAATTTGCACTGGCTCTTTCTTCTGCAGATGAATCTTTCTGAGTACAGGACAGGAACCACTAAAAGTTGCCCAACCCTGAGCCATCAAAAACAACTCAAGTCCCATGTGGTTCAGGAGACTGAGGCAGAAGGATTCTAAGTGCAAGGCCAGCCTGCTACAAAGTAAGACTCTTTCAGTTTGGTTTTGCATTGAGGACCACTGACAGATTTGGATGAAGATGTCCCAGTTTTCACTTTTAGTGTTGGGTCTAGAACTCAAAATATGATTGCTAAAGCACACCTTTAATCCAGCACTTGGGAGGCAGGGGCAGGTGGATCTCTGTTAGTTCAAGGCCAACCTGGTCTAGCTCTAGGCCAGCTGGGGCTACAGAGAGACCCTGTTTCAAAAAGACCAAAAAAAAAAAAAAAAAAAAAAACCCCAAAAAAAAACAAAAAAAAAAAAAAAAAAAAAAAACCCACAAAAAAACCAAAAAACAAACAAAAAAAAAACGTGATTCGCTGTTAAAAAGGAAATTCCTGCTTGACACTGAAGGCTGGGGCCAGGGTTTCACAATAAACTGGCAGGCAGGCTTAACAAATTGGAAACGTGACTTAGTCTGCAGAACTCCCCTCTCCCAGCTGCACAGCTCCAGTCCACCTTCCACCTGGCAGTAGGGAGAGTCAGCTGCACAAATGGAGGACAATGCTCTCATCAGTTCCCTTAGAAGAATTACTTTTGGGACAGGAGGTGTAGCTCAGAGTCACGGCATGAGCATGTGTGCCCGGCACTGCACAAGAAAAAAAGTAATAAAAGAATTTGTCTCCAAGTTCACTAATCCTAACACAGAAGTCAAGTTCCTAAGTTATACCCTAATCATAGCTATGTTAAATAAGTTTTATAGAAGGCCACAGATTCGGACTTGGCTCCTGTACCAACACAGAGTTCAATCATATCACCGGGCTCTGGTTGGCTATAAGGCAGCTCTGTAACCAACTAGTTAATCTGTACTCAGTTGATTGGTTGATTGACTAATCTGTAGCCAGTTAGGTTGTTTACTATGCTTTACTTTGGTTCTTCAGTATACACTGTTAGAGGGCACTTCGTTGGAATTCTCGGAGCCTGCTATGGTTCTGGAAGATACCCAATTCAAAAGCTCTTTTGTTTTTCTTTGTGCATGTGTTGTTTTTGTTCTTTGAGATAGGGTCTCACTATGTAGCACAGACTGGCTTGAAAATTGAAATCCTTCTGCCTCAGCATCCTGTGTGCTAGGATTACATACATATTCCAACAAGCCCAGCAGGATTTTTCTTTTTAATAGCAATCACATTTTTATTTCTAGACCCAAAACTAGAAGCAAAACAGAGGCATCTTCATCCAGCAGTGGTCCTCAATGAAAAACTAAACTGGAAGCGTCATCCTCAAGCATAACCAGGCCCTCAAAGGAGCTCCCAGCACTATTTGGTTTTTCATGAGAAAAACCTAAACGTACTTCTCAGAAGGAGTACTATCAGTAAGTAGTTCACAGCATGCAATAGTTGAAGCCAGGCATAATCCCAGCTACTCAGGAAGCTGAGACAAGTCTGAGGCCAACTTGGGCAACTTAATGAGCCCATGATGCAAAAATGTTTTCTGTACTTTTAAAAGGGGGCTGAGGACCTACCTCAATGGTAGAGCACTTGCCTAGTATGTTGCACTCCAGGTAACCCCTGGAGTCACACCCTGGTACAGAGGAGAGAGGAGGGAAGGGAGAGGAGAAAGGGGGAAGATGGACTAGAAGAGAAAGAGGTGGGGGAGGGAGAGAAAAAGAAAGAACACAAAACAGGTGCTCAAATACAGAGCCTGTATTTGATATCTGAAATTTAAAACCCTTCTGCCTCTTAGGATATGTGTGCCTATGAGTTTGCTACATTTTGGTTCACTCCTCCACAGGGTCCTTGGGGGCACCCTTCTCAAGCCACATCTCTACCTCTGGTCAATACTGATGGTTGTGCTAATGAACATTCTTTTGGTTGGTAACTGTTACTCAGCCTAACTGAACTGGCTCAGCAAACTTCCCTAAGTTACTCCATTTTGTTCAGAGCCATTTTAGCAGCAACTTTGCTCCACCAGAAGGAAAAGGGGGGCAACCTTGGGCCTTGGAAAATTGCCCTCGCCATGAATCACGGAATGTGCTAATTCCAGACATTATATTTTTGCTAACCAGCTTGTTTTCACTTCTGTAACCTGCTTGCTGCCTTGGGTCGCCCTGACACAGGGCAAAAGACCACCCTTGTTATTCTGTTATTGCACGACCACCTAGAGGTTATTTACCTTGACTGTCTTATTTTACTTGTTATGGCTAAAACAGTTGGCTAGTTTTTAATGTCACAAAGTTGAGTGCCAAGTTATATGATTACATGTATCACTTGTCTG